CAGAATGCAAAAGCTTGTCAATATGCTTCCTTGTGGTAAAAATAGAACATTTTTTCTTAGAATAATCATAACCATAAATTCAGTCATTTGGACGCTCACAAATAGTCTGAAATCTGTCTCTATGTCTAGCTATATAAGAAGATGCATCACTTTCAAGAGCACATGAAACTACTTGCTGTGTGCATGTACAATAAATACTTTCATGTTATATAGTCTAACAACAATTTGCACAGTGCTTATGCATATACCTCTCTTAAATGAGCACATTAACCTAATCAATCGTAAAGATAAGAAATTTGTTTCCTGAACTATTCAGATTGTTTAACCATTTATTTTCTTCCTTTTGATGTGTAGCTGCACTTCAGTGTTTATAAGCATAATTCAGTGCTGTCACAACTGTTTAACTTATTACTCAGTAGTGCAGTAAAAAGCATACAGCTTATGAAATGGTGGTGTTACATAAATAGGTCATAAAATGGAAACTATTCCTTCCTTAGAAATGTAAGTACCACTGAAGCAGGTGAAAATGGTTTTCACCCGAGCTTTGTACTGAAAATTTATCTCATTTGACTGAGATTTCTTTGCTACTCTGCTTCCATTTATGAATAGTCAACTTTTTGCTGTTGAATAACAGAATTGCATGAATTCATTAATCAAATTCTATACATGTAAAACATTATTTGATCTCTACTCTAATGTTCTGTTTCAAGGAGTGCCCAATAGCGGGTAATCAGTGTAAGATTAAAAGTAAGAAGGTTCTGTAATAGATTGCTTCACGTGACAATTTCTCAGAAAGATCAAACATACCAGATGTTAAACAAATATCCATTGAACTGTTTTCCTTTTGAGAACACTTAAAAGATTAAACTGCAGAAATGTTTTACATTTCCTGTAATGTCATTTGTGATGTGTAAACTGATGTTAGAATCTCAACTTGAGATGAACACCCAGAAGCAAAACTTTATTGCAGTGTGTTTCAGGTCATTGAAGGATGAAAGAGTAAGGAAGACATGCCTCTAGAAATACTGTTCAATAAAAGGCAGGCCCTGTCTTGCAGGCTGTTTCCCTCAACCTGACTTGGAAGCAGTTGAGGCAAGTGAAATAGCAGAGGAGGCATATATTTGTTTCTTAAAATTGCTGCTATGTGTAGCACTACTCTGCCCTTACTGACTTGTTCCTTTCTGTAGAACACTTAGATTTTATGTAGGGAAGAGCTCTCCACCATGAGCTTTGAGTTGTGAAAAATACATAGCAAGACAACACATTAAGTGTTAATTTTGAATACGTGTAGCCTAAATAATTACAATTTCCTTCTCCATATAATATAATTTCTCTGCATTCATGATAGAAAACTAGACAGCCACCACAGGCTTAGTGATGCTCTGTAATTGCTGAGAAATGTGGATTTTCCCAGGTACTCATTTCCCTGAATTCTGTCACCGTATGGCTCATTTGGAGGCTGACTGTATGGTTGCTTCACAATAACTACTGTTCAAAGCCTTAAGCAAAGAAATACACACTTAGCTTGTCAGGAGGCATTGAATTTCATCGTTTTGATATGTTTATTTTAGAAAAGTTGCAGCACGAATTGTATTCGTTTCCTATTTATTTCTGGCTTTGACTCACTTCTGTGTTCAGAATGATAAAGAAACTTCTGGGAAGATGTTAACACGTTCTCCTCAGCCCATATCCCCCATTCCAAAATATACACAAATAACATAAAAAAATACTTTAAAGCCACAAAAAAAGGGAATTTCAGGCTGCTAAAATTTTAAAAATATTACCAAAAAATGCCCACAATGTATCAAAATACTTAGGAAATGTTTGTTCATGAGAACTAAGAGGGTCTCTTTTTTTAAATTCCTCTCACTTTGCTCAGATGTAGTAGAGAGGAAAGAAGTTCATTTTAGAAGGAGAAGGGACAGCTAACCTGAAGGAGCTTAAGAGATGCATTGGAAGCAGAAGCTGGTGGTGTTTTAGCAGGTAGTAATGCCTGTGTGCTAGCTGGCCAAGAAGTCTGAACCTATGAATTATTTAAAGGAATTTGGGAATGAACTGAGATGGCAACTGGAACCTAAGGTTGACAAGGCAAGATACTGAGATAATGCCAAGAAAGTGGCAGATAAAGAACAAAGCGAATGAAGGTTGGAACTGAGTTACAGTGAAGAAATCTCACTGATGGGACTGACAAGCCAAGTGTATATCGGTTATAAATTTCTACTTATTTTCAATCCAGATGTAGGCTGTTTTCTCCTAAGTAATTAATATGTGTTTGAGGCGTCCCATGCTGAGAAAAGACTATAAAATATGTGAGTTTTGAGTGACTATTCTAGTCATCATTTCAGGGAACAGGAGCACTACCATGTAAAACTGGCGTCTATGCAGAGCTGGATAAACTAAGCAATGGAATACGGTTCTGGGCTTTGAATTCTCATCTCAGGGAGCTGTCTTATCAGAAAGGAAAGAATTTCAGACAGACTCGTTTCTTCAGCTTTTCCTAACAAATTATTTCCATTCTGCATGTTTGGTGGTATAACACCGGCTCCAAGCTTCCTGTGACTCCCATTTGGACAGGGAATGGTGGGAAAATGGGGGGGGACGTAGGATGGATTTTCTCACCTAAAACTATGGGCCTGACACAGGTATTTCAGTGTCATCAACAGCATCTCACATGGGCCTTAGTTCTTGGGTGCAAGCTTTATCTGGCAATTCTTTGGCAGAATTCGAGACAGAATGCAGTTTTCCTGGGGAGCATGTAACTCAGCCATTGGGCTGTCTTTGCTGTCCTCAACCTTTCTGGCTCTTCCCCTGTGCATCTTCTTTCTTGACAAATAATGACACATAGGGCTTTTCATGAGACTCCCTTGCTCTTGAATCCCTTCTGCCCAAGAAAAGGAAACAGGACTATTCTACAGCTAAGATGTGGGAAGAAAAAGTTGTGTTAACTTGTAAATGAAATGTTAATGTATAGGATGAGTTTTAAAAAGAATTTTGTCATATGAATTATTTTAACCTATTTTACTTGTGTGATTTATGAAGTTTGTTAATACTTACATTATTTTTAAACATTTGCAATCTTTCCAATCTGTTCACCTGGAAAATCTATGGCAAACAAGTGTATAATACACAAGCACTATGAGAATTTCTTCCAAACTAAATTTTATTTGGATATAGAAAATGAATTCTATAATAAAATAACCAGAGAAAATTAAGTCATTCAAACCCTAGCTCTGACTTTTTTTTCTCAGGTCCTGAAAATCCACCGATGTAGTATCATTATATTATTTCATTTGAAAAGCACTGAAAACGCTGTGGCAGACAGAAGGTGATAGGATTTTTAGGCCTATTTTTCCTGATTTTACTTGTAAATTTTAATGTTGGTGGGATCTTAGCAGAAGCAGTTTAAGAGTAGTTATAGTTTGGCCAGACCGTACACTGCTTGGTCACAATTTTATATTGTTGGAATGTGTTTTGCTTGTGTAGAAGTTGATAATCAGCCTTGCTAACCATATGCCTAAAAAGCCTTACCTAGTAACAGTACATCCTTGCTTGTACTAATGGGATTGAAGCTGATCTTACATACTTTTCAAGCGGCCTTTATCCCGTAGAGACATACATACTAACAAGGGACAGCCCTGCTAGCAGTTGTTACATTCACACAGCATTTGCAACCTTTTCTAAATCATACTCTTCCTAGGAAGCCCGCCACATTTGCCACAGTTTCCTTGGAATGAGACCAAGTGCGCTTTAAATTGATACAAACTTATTTGAGAAAGTCTGTCATAGCTTTCACCAGAAGCCAAAAATAGTTTGTTCAGACAGAACACTTGTTCCTTTCAAGAATTTTTGCTAAGCAGATGTGGCTTCAACCACAGTTTGAATTTGCGTCTCACTTTCAGAGGTCAAGAATATTTCAAAACAGTTTTGACATAGACTCCTCTCTGGTTATATCTCATGGTTACCATTCAAAAGACAGCCAGCCTCTGCTGGTATTTAGATGATGTTAATGAGAAGAAAGAGGGACCTATGGGCCTTTCTAAATCTAACTGATTCCTCTGCTGTGAGGGCAAAGCTGTCACAGATGGATTCCTGCAAGTCCGGTGGCAGAGCACCTACCTGGAGTCTGTTTGCAGCTCAGCCACCAGATCTGGCAGCTGGTCTCACAGCTCTAGACTTCCGTCTTTGCACCTGCAACAAGGCAGTAAAAATCCTGACTTCTTTATGCATATTGTTATTTCTAATACTGTTATTTGGTAGTACATTGATGGCAGGTTATTGATGTCTTAAAGTAGCTGTTGTGACTGAGGTCTTTGGGGTGCTTTGTCAACTTACTGTAACAGCATTGTGCGTGAAGCAACAAGATTTTGCATTTTTTGTGTCCTTGCATGGACAGATAGCTTGGTCACTTTCTAATTCATCATCAGACTTGTTTTGTCATTGCACTTTTTTTTTCTTTTTCAAGGAAGGTTGTGAGCAAAAGACAATAAAAAACCACTAGCTGTTTTTCTTCTAGATTGTGTTCTACGCACTATAGAGTTCATGCTATATCTAAGCATAGTTGTGTCCATTTATAAATGAAAATCTCTCAGAAACATGAGAAATGACCGTGATTATGTAAAAGTGATCAGTTGTGATTTGGTTTCTGCCCTTTTCTATCAACTATTATATACCTAATCCATAAATCCACTCTTAGCTTTGGAAAGTCTTAGCTGATGTTAATTCATGGTGAAAATTAGAAAATTTAAAGTATAAAAAGATAATGGATTGCACCCATAAATGTATTTTTCAGATCTATATGCAAACATGTAGCTGCTCACAGAAAACAGTGTAAAAACAGCAGTTTTTAATTTGTCATCTTTGTTTTTCAGTGGCATACCTTTAATGTTACTTATATTTCTGTGAAAAATATTTTTAGTACTTACCAGAATTGTTTGCACTATAATGGATTATCTTTTTTTCCATTTAAAAACACTAAAGCATTCTGTTTGTCTCATTTGCAGTGAATTTGGAAAGTGCAGGAAGGATATTGCAACGTTCTCACGTGTGTCCCGTACTCGTTTTCCTGCAGAGTGTTGGAAATCTGTTTCAAAATCTGTCACTTTGGCTGACCTTTGGGAAGCCTCCATTGATGTGTTCTGGTGAGTAAAGATGAAAAGTATCTATGAAATGAATGAAGCAGCAGTGAAGCAAAACTGTGAATATTTAGAGAGAAAGGAAATGAAAGTAAGAGACCATAAGAAGTCTTGATGATAGAATTATAATAACTTAGAGAATTGCAAATATTCTGTTTGCTTTCATCATTTGAATTTAAACACCGTTTTTTATTGTTATCGTTGTTGTTGTTGTTGTTAAGAGTTCTATCAAAGAGCTGGCCCATAAATCAAGAACAAAACTAACAAAGCAATATACCTCGGCTTCTGTGAATGATGTTGCCAGCAATAAATGCATAAAAATCAAGAAAAATGGTTATGGAGCCAAATAAAGGCTCAGGGTTGTTGGTCTGTTTGCACTGGCTGTACACACAATCTCAAGAAAATCAATGCCTACATCGAACATGCAGCAATTAAGCTTCAAACAATATTTGATTACAAACTATGTGAAAAACCTGTGAATTTCCATGTACTTTTATTGGTCTTGTTAGTGTGCAATTTCAATTTCTTTGCTTAGAAAGGTGAAGTTTGTATGATCTGTGGCTGAATTATGGGTGAATTAACTTAATATCAGTTATTCTGAATCCACATTTACACATTCAGAGGCTTTATTTTTTGAAAACTCTTCTTCAAACAGACTTACATAGCATTTTTGTTCCTGTCAGTTAAATACTTAAAAGCTTTGTGTGAAATTATCACAATCAGGATGCACATAAAATCAGTATAGTCTGGAATTCCTAACAAATATTCATAGTGTTGTGCTAATGTGATCTGTGGTGCATTCCTAGTGAAACTAGATACTAGAGGAGTGATATGATAGATGATATGAAGATTGTGCCCCAGTTTTATTGAGGAAACATCCTATCAACACAAAGGCAGCTGATTACAGCCACAAAACTTTCAGGCTGTCTTGCGACACCTTGCTTGTCCATGAGGAGTTGTGTGTCCCACCTCTTGCCTGCAGGTACAGCAACTGTCACTGTCTTGCTTGGGCGTCAAACTTTGAGTAGCATCCTTCATCTCATTCTTTTGTATGCAACAATGTGCAGGACTTTTAATTCTCATGGATCGCTGGGATATTTTCTGCTGCATTTCATTCCTTAATTTGATTTATTGCAATAATGGGTAAAGGCAGGAAATGTGATACAAGGAAACAATACAATGTAAGAGAAACAGAGTTGCCTAAATGACAATGTACAGCGTCATTTAAGATGCCTTCCACCATCCAGGATAATTGTACGGATTTGGCAGAGCTGTGAAACCTAGGGGGAACTCTAGGACCCCTTGGAGTAGCAGTGGAAAGTGTACAATGTCTGAAACGGCACTGCTCAGGTAACTGAATCTCATGCTGTTAGTCCTATCAATGTGCCTTTGTACTGGCATCTTAAAACCTTTCAAGTTTTAATAGGCTTCATGCAGTTGAGAATTGAGGAATTTGAATGACAGAATATTTTTGTCCTTTAAACAGAAAATGAGGAGAACCTGGATGATGAAAATGTCAAAGCCTTACAGAAGCTGTGCAAAAACAATTATATGTAGACACAATTATATGTAGATTGGACACGTTGTCTTGGCTGCAAACTGAGTCAAAGATGTTCCATAGGACTGTGGGCGTGTATAGGCAGGGTGGCAACTTTCCCTTCTGGAATGAGAGGAGAGTGAAATACACTTTGCATATGCGAAGTCTCTGCTTAGCAAATCCCTAAACAGTCTGCTCAGTGACAAATTCCTGTGGATAAGAAGCACTGACATTGCTACCCCTTTCATTCTTTCATTTTGCAACCATTTATTTAAGCTGTTACAAGTGTGGAACAATCTTCAACAGGGTCTTATGTGGTAACAGTGCCTAAAGTGTAATCTAAATTTTCTACTCAATTCTGCAAAGACTTTTGTTCCTTCAGGAACAAACAGAGGTCTGGTTTCTAGAAGACATAAGCAAAAGAAAAAAAAAAAAAAAAAAAAAAAACCCAGGTTATTTGAGACAAACCCTGGTGGGTTTACCTGAAAAGGTTTTATCTTCTCCAGGAGATAGCACATCTAGTGTAGAATGACATGAGTCATCCTGATGGTTTTCCTGTTCAGTACAGACTCATTGATGCTGTAGCACTGCTGCTGTGTAGTGATCTTTTGGATACCTCAAGAATTTAAGACACTTGTGAGCTGCATTCTGCAGATCCCATTTGTAACACAGGGCTCTTCATATTCAAAAAAGCTTTACACATAGTTTTTTGGCCTCAGACAGAAGCTTGCTGTTGCATTCTTTTGTACTGAATAGAGGCTTTTACAGTGTGAATGTCCCCTTATCTAATTCATAGGGTTACTTCTAAACTTCTAGCTGGCCAGGACAACTGCACTTAACTGTGCCATTGTTAGGAGGTGATTTTATTTCATCCTGAACATATTGAGGTTTCTTTTTTTTTTTTTATTTCATTTTTTTTTTAATTATTTCTTCCAGAAAGGTAGAATGGAGTCTGGGAGAATGGTGTTTGTTCCTATGCACTTTATTTAGCTATTTCTGTGAGAGTTGTTCAAGGGGGCTGTTTATCTGAATCACTGTGTCTATCGAACACTGTTGTCACTTAAAGGATGGTCCTTTTCCTTTTGCTCCACTGGTACTTCCTTCCAGCCACACAAGACACTTTCTCACTTCTGCCAGTTGTGGCATCCATTGGCTGCCCAGTGAGAAGCTAGTTCAATGTCTGAAATGACAAAAGTCAGTAAGTGAATGAATATTTTACATCTAGCTTTGTGAGCTGAGCTTGTCCACCAACGAGTCAGAGCTAGCATAAGGAAGAGAGCAGAAACTTCACCCACTGGTTATGATTGGAGTCAGAGCAGGGAGATGAAGAAGCTGACCCACATCTCTGGGACGTATTTTGAGTGTTTTAGAAGAGCTCAGCTGTCTAACAGCAGCCAGAGGTTAATTAATGGCAATTGCCTCAGCTGAACTTGTCTTGGATCAGAGTTTGAATAGTGCATGGGTCCTTCAGTGCAAGCAGCCAAGTGTGCAGCTTCTGCTGTCCTAAGAAGTCAAGCAGTTTCCCTAATACTCTTCTTGTTATAGTCTCCAGGCCAATTCAACACCTTTGCTCAAATGAGAAGATATCAGCAACATCCCCTCCTACAGCAGCCTTTTCCTTTTAAATACTCCTTGTTGCTGATAGATCTATCAGTGAGAAGTGCTGAGAAACCAGCTTAATGTGATACAGCTGTAAATACTGTATTGCTTGTGACTATCAGAACTGAAAGATCCACAAAAATGTCAGCTTGGATGGGAGTACTGAGTCATTCAGTAAGATTAACTTAACCGTATCTCCAAGGTGGGATGTACTATAAAGGAATGCATCCATCCTGAGTTATTTTAGGTAGTGGAATGGAATCTATTCCATTTTTTTTTCTTTATGAAATTTATTTCTCTTATTTTAATAATTTCTAACTGTTGTTTCTGGTTGTCCTTCTCATGAAGATGAGATACACTTGTAAAGCTTAGATTCTCGACTCAGTTATTTGTGGTTTAGCTTCTGACCTATGTTCAGATTCTTTTGGTGATGAGATGAAGTACAGGCCTGATGGGCCGAAAGAAGTCACAGATGGATCCCAAACATATATGAAACTGTGCTGACTACTTTTGCGTGACAACCCGGTGTTTAGTGCGCTGCAGAAAATACAAGGCCTCAGTATTAAGATATTGTGGTGTATCTCTTCCAATTATTCCTTGCAGGAAGGTAACTGCTGAAGGGACCCAGAGAGTTTGGGGTACAATGATACACTCTCCAACCCTGTGGCTCCTGTCAGTCTGGTAGGACATGCTCCATAAGGCTTGAGTTTGCTAAACCTGAGATGCTGGTACTTCGGGGTGCCTGATTCATAGTGTCTGAGCAGAGAGACAGCTTTGGTTATGTTTCTTTCTGTCTTGTTCACCTTTGTTCCACACTGTCTCACAGCGAGTAGAGAAACAGAACAGAGCTTTATTCAGAAAAACTTTGAAGTCTGTCTTTTAGTTAAAAGATCTGAGACATCAAATTCTAATTAAATCAGATACAAATTAATGCTCATCCTGCATACTTTCCTATTGCTTGGTTCTTAGTTATGATTTGTTTCATACTTCAGAGTAAGAAGAGCAAGGCTTAAAGTGTTAGGTTAGCTATCTGTTCTGAACTAAGCACCTTTTCTGCAAAAAAATTCCTTTCTTCTCAGCCTGTCTTCCTGGGTTCTTCAGTATAAATATTACCTCACTGACTCCATTTTTTGAGGAAAATCTCCTAGATTTTTAAGTCTGGGCTCCGAAAACTTTTGCAAGTGCCTTTACTGGCTCTGTTTAGACCTAGATTCTCAGCTTTGTATGCATTTTCTCTGCCCTTTCTGTTGAGGTATTTCTACTGGATAGAGAACAATGTAAACAGAGAGAAAGTGTTATGCCTATTTCCGTAGGCTGGTGGATAGGCCACTTGTCTAAGAGAAAGCCCTGGGCTCTGGTTCCTTCTCACTGGTTAGATGATAGACTTGAATATTCAATATCAGATGCAGATGAATTTTAAGGGGCTGAGGCTGGGGAACCAAACTCCAATCCTCATCAGCAGCTGAAGTGGATTGTGAATTTTTCATTCTTGGCTGCTTAGGAGCAGTTCATTAGTGTTTTGGAGAGTTCTCCCATTCCTCAGCCCAACCCAGCCTGCACTTTGGTGATGAGTGTGCTGTATAGGCAGTGTAGGCTTGGATGCCCTTGGGCAAAAGATTCCAGTGTTTGCCACCTGGGTAGTTGCAAGTCAGTGAATGGTATTTGGGACAAAGTGGAATAAGTGCAAAGTGTCTGTGAACAGGATGGTGTAGTTGTCTGCTTCTTTCTAACACACTTGTCTTTTCATCTGCCTATGATTCCTCAGCTGTCCTCCTCTGCAGGTGTGAAACCTTCATGATAATTATAATGACAGTATACTGCTAAACCTCACCATCAGAAGAGACATGGTGTTACAAGTGGCCAG